AACATCAGTACCTTGAATTTAATGCGAGCAGCTATTGGTAGCCAGTGCAAAATTATGAAGAGAGGTGTGACGTGGGCTTTCTTTGGCTCGTTGAAGACCAGTCTCGCTGCTGCGTTCTGGATCATTTGCAGCGGCTGGATAGTACGTGCCGGAAGACCCGCCAAGGGAGCATAACAGTAGTTCAGTCTGGAGAGAACAAGAGCTTGGACAAGAAGTTGTGTGGCTTGCTCTGACAGGAAGGGTCTAATCTTCCTAATGTTGTACAAAGCAAACCTGCAGGACCAGGCCGTTGTAGCAATATGGTCTGTGAAGCTTAACTGATCATCCATCACAACTCCACAAGGTTGCTGGCTGTCCTGGAAGGAGTTATGGTTGATGAACCCAGCTGTATAGAGCAGCTGTGATGAAACGATGGGTTTGCTGGAACAACAAGCAGTTCTGTCTTAGTAAGGTTGAGTTGAAGGTGATGGTCCTTCATCCAGCTAGAAATATCTCTCAGACAGGCTGCAATGCGAGCAGCTACCGTCGGATCATCTTTGTTGGAATGAGAAGTAGATTTGAGTGTCATCAGCATAGCAGTGATAAGAAAAGCCATGCTTCTGAATGACAGATCCTAATGACGACATGTAGATGGAGAAGAGAAGTGGTCCAAGCACTGAGCCTTGAGGAACCCCAGTAGCAAGAAGTTGTGACTTAGAAACCTCACCCCTCCAAGACACCCTGAAGGACCTACCTGAGAGGTAAGACTTGAACCACAGGAGTGCGGTTCCTGAGATGCCCTGAGATGATTATTAAGAAAGTTGCAGGCCAGATTCGAACCAGAGACATCTAACCACTGAACCACAGCTCTGTCAAGACGAAACATTAACACTCATTCAGCGGAGTGCTCTGTCTTGTTTGGAGGTTTGATCAATATTTGACCACACTGACCAGCAGAACGAGCCCAACAGCAAGCAGCACCAGCTCAGTCAAGGTCACTGCAGATAATCTAATCCAGGATGTCCTGCTTGCCTAAAACCCAGCTGCTACAACATGTGCTCTTAGTATTATATATTTTTGTGGAACAGATAAAGTCAGCAACAGTGATTTACTGGGACCATGAATTAGTGTAGGGGGAAGCAAATCCTAAAATTAAGAGAGAGCTTTCATGTTTTTCACAGTCAGTTTAAATAAATAAATAAAATAAGAATATAATTTAGAAATGAAAGCCACATGCCATTAAACACAATACCAATAATGTATAAATACTGTAACTGTTGATATATATAAAATATATGTAACAAATTGTTAAATATTGTTAAAAATACATCTACTTTTTAATGTGTATATCAGTGCCAGATTTTATTTATCAGATTTTATTTCAGGTACAATTATTAAGCAACTTTGGTCTAACAGATTGTTTTTTTTTCTCACAGTTTACTAAAACCACAATAGATGATGTAGTGCTGAGTGTATTTATTAAATGGAATTTGATTGCGTTATCAATATATACTTTACAATCATCAATAAACTGTTCCAGCTAAAATATTCTGAATTTATGTTAAAAGGGTAACACTAGAGAACAATACCAGGAAAAGCTTGAAATGGTCAGAGTGCAGCACATTTTTTTTATTTTATTTTTTTATAAAAAATATATACATATTTTCGGAATTAGCTTTTTCATTATTAAAGTGGTTGAATTGATCAGAAATTCCACTTCCATTTCAATTTCTCTACAGAAATGAATGGGTAACTATGGTAACCAGATTTAGTTTTGCCCAATAAGTGTGTCGGACCTCCTGTATCTATGCAGAGTGATGGAGAAATTGTGTTTGTTTGTGTGTGATGTGGAGACTGGGGAGGGGTGGAGGGCGGATCCAAGACACTGTGGCCGTTAAGGAAAACCCCAGACCATCAGTATGATAACACAGTCTTGAGCGTCATGATAAACCTTTATCTTATAATATTAGTAATGAACCCTGCTTTCTGAACCTTTCTTTCCTTGTTGTTTGTAAACTATATTTCTCCCTCCTTCAGTGTGGCAGCCAGGCAAACCAGTGAACACTCTCACATGAGCGATACTGAACTGAACTTACACATGCTATTTAGAGAGCTGCACTGAAAGGTCAAGAATGCAACCATTTGGGCAAATATTTGATTTAAAACTAAGCAGGCTGGTGTAGGTGTGCTCAAAGAGAGCCAGTGAGGTGCAGAATGACCTGAGGGTTAACAGGCTCTTTGTGTACCTGAATGGAAGAACAGGAAGTGTGTGAACTCTTAGACAAACACACACTTCAAACACATACCAAACCAGTCAATATTATGATTTAGATATTTAGGCCACATATACATCCCGCAAAGTGTTGAGTGTGACATGAATGCATTTAAATGCTGGAGTGTATCGCTAAATAGCTTTTCTTTGAATATGCAATACAGGAGGCACTCCTGAAGCAGCATTTTGAGTCTCATGATTGTTAACAACCAGTATGGATGCCAACAGATTAACCTCTTTGGTGCTATTTTTGATGGAAGAAACACTAGCGACTGCAGACATATTAATGTCTGGTCATTTTTAGTAACCCTCGGTCCACATATGTATCATTTAGAACAACCGATAAACAACCAGTCTCTACCAAACCAATACTTATGTTCCATTCATCTGTAATATTAACATATTTTGCCTAATATACATAATCTGTCCACCTCTGAATGATAGAAATCCACTATACATTAGGTCAGTTCTCTCCATAGAGTGTCCTTATAGCCTGTGACTGTATGTTTGGTGTATTTACTCCACTATAAAGATTATCTGTAATTCACACAGCACAGAACTGGAGTGCCGCCATGAAAGAGCCTCCCACTGAAAATGCTGAGTATTAGCAGCATGTATGTCCAAACAAGCTTCTGAATGGCAAAATAACCTAACAACAAATGTGGAGAAAACAGACTGCAATATAAAACAAAAACACAAATCTTTGTCTAATGCATTTTATCTCCAGTTTGTGTATGATCATAGTCAGTAAGACTGCAATACTCAATACAGAAACAGAACATGCCAAGAAATATCTCACCAAACAAAAATGCTGAGTGCACAAAGATGTAGTCACATGAATAAACATAAAATGGAAACTCTTTGGATATAAAATGAATATCTTCTTAATATCTTATTTCACAACACTACAAATGTTCTAATTTAGCAATTTTACAATAAAGTAATTGGGGGAGTCGTGGCCTAATGGTTAGAGAGTTGGACTTGTAACCCAAAAGGTTGCAGGTTCGAGTCTCGTACCGGCAGAGATTGTAGGTGGGGGGAGTGAATGTAAAGCACTCTCTCCCACCTTCAATACCACGACTGAGGTGCCCTTGAGCAAGGCACCGAACCCCCAACTGCTCCCCG